CGCCCGCCCCGCCCGCCGCGCCCGCCGCGCCCGCCGCGTCCTGAACCCTCGCATCCCGCCTCGCCCTCTCATTCCCCACTCTCGACACCTCTGCCGCTGCTCCCATTGTCATATAAAACCCTTCGGTTCCATTATATGCGCCCGCTGAAGTGCCGCGGCGCCGCGTTGGGTTTGCTCGATCGTGTTCGTGTGCCGTTCGTACGCGCTCTGCTCACGATAACGACATGAGTTGCCACATCTTACTTGTTTAAATTGACAACGCACCATACTCATGCCAACCAGAAGTGTGCTCGGCTGTCGGGCTATGCCATCACCCCCGCGCGTCGCGCCGAAGAGGTCCGCCGTCGCGGTTGAGAAATGAGGAACGTTCCTCCCGGTCTTCAGGGCCACACAATCACATGCCATTGTTCGCGCAACGCGCTGCTTCGTCCTCTGAGTCTTCGATCCCGACCACCACCTACCTTCCTTCCCGCTGGGCAATACACTTTGCTCTTAACATCTGACCGCCTCTTTGTATGATATGTGTACTTTACCCATATAGATTTGGCCAATCGCTTGCTCTCGACACGCACCGCGGAAGCAAAACGCCATCCGTACCTATCTATCATCACTGCAGGGAGCCGACTCGTCTCGCTGCGCCTGCCTCTTCTTGTTTCTGGAGGATTTAGTTACCGTGAAAATGGCACTATCTCATGTACCCTGCGTTGCGTTGTTCATCTCATGCGATACAAGACTCGGAAGACTTCGAAGCGTTGTCCGCAAGCTGACAACGCCAACCGTGATCTTTGCGCGGCCTTCGATCGCGTTCAGCTGTCTGATTACCGCGTCGGCTTCCCGAGTATCGGCATGGTATAAAAACTTCACCTGCACTCGACGCGGTTATCGCTCGAGCCCCCATGTCATCCCGGTCTGCTGGGCAGGATGCGCTCTTCAAGTACGTCGAGGGCTTCGCTCACGATCCCGACGACGCGCTGGTCGAAAGGTGCCGCGCCATATGCCAACCTTATAACCACCCCTTTATCGGCCCAGTCCTTCAGTACAAGGTCGACGATTATAACTTAGGCAGACACCTAGTATTCGTACGCCCCAAAGTGCCCTCGTCTACTTGACATATACTCATCCCAGTTTCTCTAGTGCAAGGGTACGCATCCGGACAACCCCGACAACCCCGGTCGTGTCTGGATGCCTGTTTCTCCGCCCCTCACCATTGCTCAACGCCGTCTGGTGCGAGAATTTCGCGACGAGCGCGGCTTGCGCGCAGACGGCACACTCGTTGCGAAGAAGGTACCTACGCTCCCCAAGAAAGCTGGCCAAAAGAAGAAAAAGGTACGCACACAACCGGCACGCTCATACGACAGCTTGAAAAGCTAACTAACCCTCATGACTAGAAAAAGCTCAATACGCCGTCTTCCGAGATAATCGACATCAGCTCCGATACCGCGCCACCTTCTCCGGACACCTCCCGAGCGCGTCTCGCCCGATCGCCAAGTGTCGAAATCATCCGCGTCGTACCCGCGCCCGTGCGCGTTCTTCACGACAAGCTCGATATTTGGTATTTCTCGGACGTACGTGTTCACGTCGCCGATGGTTGGTCCAATCAGTACTGACCACTCATAGAACGAGAAGCTCCCGGTATCCTTGACCCTCAAGGCTCGGCCCGCTCGTCAAGAATTCCGTTTTCGTCAATACGAGGACGTTCTGCTGTCTATCGAGCTCAAACAGACGGACGCGGTCATGGTTCTCACCACGGCCATCGGAGGCATCCGGACGTGGTCCACCTTCCGCGTATCCGATCTCATGATCCCGCGCACTCAGTGCAAGATCGTCCTCGCCCGCCCGCGTGTGCAGACCCCGCACAGCCGCATCTTAGACTATGAAGACCACGCATACCCGGGAGCCGGTACGTTCCCTTATATGAGCGTCTTCCACGTCACTGACACGACTCTACACAGCCTCGCTGTCGAAACGTATCCTGCCGCTACCGTAGGCCCATTACAATGTACCGTTTGAATGTACCGTTTGAGACGACATATGCGCGCATAGCTTTATTTGTATGGTATATACATAATGGATACATCTTATACGTGTACTATGTATACTCCTTCGACCCCTGAACGTTAGCGCCATCCGAACGGGCCTGGCTTTTTTGACGCCCGCTGCCTGTGTGTTTCTGATTCTGCCATGAGCTCCGGATATTCTGTGACCGTATCGTATGCGCTTACCTTCACCGTCAGCCACGACCCGCTGATCATCCAGCCGCATTTTCTTGCGTGGCCCGTCCTCGGCGCTCGGCGTAGTACAGGCCTCGTTCCGCACAGTGTGCAGGACCTCGAACACGCGAATCATGTCGCGCGCCACCGCCGTCCAGTCTTCCATATGCAGCCCGCTCCGCGCCCAGTACATCATGCACCAGACGAGCAGGAATGCTCCTTTGTACCCGCGTGCCTCAGCCAACGACCCCCACGCCATGTGGGTTGCGGGCGCGCTCAAGTCACCGACGGCCGAAGCCTCTCCGCGTTCCACCGGCTGCAGTGAGATCCACCATTCTATCATCTTCTCTCCCCAATCAACCGGCACCTCGCCTTGCAACACTCCGCCGCGCCGAGAAGTAATACTTGATGCCGCACGAGGCCGCTTTTTGCTGTCGAGATAACCGCCCGTCCCCATGTCCTGTCAGGCAGTCAGTCTTGTACCAGACGGCGCCCACGATATCCCAATGCACTTACCCACTTCAAGTCATCCCTCAGAAGGCTCTCCATACAGTCCACAAGACTTGCGTAGACAGGTTGTACCGGTGGCGCCAGCGTTTGTATGGTGTGTACGATCATCTTGCGTCGCGTGCTCTCGGCGAATTTCGCCGTGTACGTCCTCCACGCTGCCTTATACTCAACCCCGCTTTCATCGACCTCATGCGCGCTGACCCATTCCTAGATAGGATGAGCTCTACAGCAGTCGGAATACGGGCGATGGAACATACCTGCGTTTGCATGCGCCCAGCATCGATATCCGCTGCCTCCGTTGGCTCCGCCGAAAGATGGTTCGCGTCTAGCGTAACACCGTCTTCACCACCCGCACCCTCGGCACTCCTAATATCGTCCGCCTCCCAATTTTCCTCCTCCTCCTCATCCTCCTCCTCTCCGTCGTCCGTGAACACACCCTCTTCATCCGAATCCTCAGACTCTAGGCGAGCTTTTCTCCGCTTCGACGTTCGCCCTTTCACGTTTGAGGCAGTACCTCCACCACGTATCACCTTCTCGGCGGCGCGTTTGGTTAGCTTGACACCGCCCCTTTTGGCGCCGGTAGCCTTCCTCTTAGTTGTTCCGGCGGCCGCGGCGGCGTCGTTGGTCGCGGGGTCGTCGGGGTTAACCTTGGGTGGAAGTCGCTGCCGCTTGCGGCTTTCGCCCGCACGAGAGCGGGCAATTGCACCCAAGAGCAGCGTACGCTCGGACTTCTCCTTCGTCTTGGCCAACCGCCGATCCTTGAACAGCGAAGCCTGATATGCGTCGGCTTTCTGAACTTTCTCTACTTCGCTGTCCGTCGCGCTCATCTCCGTGCCCTCCCCATTGGCCATCTCTTCCCGACCGTGCTCCGCCCGCGCCAACTCCTCGCCTGTTCGTACGTCCGCCATGTCAGCGACCGGGCTCCCGAACAGATGCTCGTGCGTATCCACGTCCATGGCTTCGACGTCATCGTCACCCGCTTCGGAAACGCTCCGACTCAACCCAGCCCGGCGTATGGCGTAGTCAGTCGTCGTGGTCTCTGGACTCGAAGCACGCGAGTAGAACGTAGTCGGCCAGGCAGCCGACTGGCCCGCGAACATGAGCTCATTGTCGTCCAGGATACCCGTCCCAAACGGGTCATCCGACTCTCTGTCCATTGCGTCGCGTCCGATATCCACGTCTCCCGAGCCGCTGGCGACCGCGGCCTTCAACGGATGATAGGCATTGACGCGCCCATCCCCAACCGCACGTCGAGACCGATTGTCCGTTCCTGCACCAGTCCTGTCGACACCCTTTCCTTTAAGTCTTCGTATCAGATCCTCCGGCGAGTCCTTCTTTTCAAATCAGCCATGCCCAGAGAGCAGATGAAACGCATAGTGCTGACCGTCTCTTGAGGCTCATCTGATCTATTGGGCATGCTGGCCGATGCCACGTCAGCGCCACCCGCCACCGTCAGCGTATCGCTGCTGGCGCCACGATTAGACTGAGATCGGTCAGAATAGAGAATCGCCGGATGATGCAATGGAGCCGCACCGATTCTGGAATCTCGCCTTGCGCCCATTCCGCGATCTCTTCCTTACGCACTACATGCATAGGGTCGCGTTCCAGATTCTAAGCGCAGGAAGCGTGTCAATCTTACGGCAACAGAGAGTACTAAACGAGATTGCGCACCAGCCTCGCAGTCAAGTCCTCCATCTGCTCATCCACGTCAACCTCAACCTTGTGTCGGTGTTCTGCAGAAGAGGCGCCTGTTGGATACTCTCCTGTCAACATGTCCCTCACGTATTGGCACATGCGGAGCCGCGTATCGCTCAGAGACATCGCCACGACATTCGCTAGCGGGGGGGCGCCGGGCTTGGTGTGTCCTGACGCGAAAAGACTACGGATGGAAATTAGTCGTCTGAGAGTTGGTGAAAGGGAAGACGCCGATACCTATTGGCATCGGGTATGCCCCCGTTGTCAACGCCGGCGATGGTAAGCACGAGAGAGACGCCAAAACGCGTCGCAAGCCAGTTCAGAAGCGCCTGGAGGAAGCTGCTCGCCTCCGGGTACACCCTAGTACACGGTCAATCGTAACAGCGGGAGAAGAGTACACAGTACATACCATGCGCGCGAATTTCCCGGCATGTCCAGCGGCGCACCCCACAGAGTGTTGTACTTTTTCAGTTCCTCTGCGTGTACCTCGTCCCTCTTTTGCCTGACAACCGCCTTCACGTTTTCCTTCTCCCGTTCATACATCTGGCTCGCAAAGGCCCGCTCAAAGCCGCCTTTACCCTTCCTCAGCGACGCCAAAACCAGTTCGTCCCCCGCCGCCGCCACCTCCTTGGCCTTGATCGAGCTCTCGAGAGCGTCGCTATAACGCGAGCGGTAAAACTTTTGGTAGATGTCGAGCTCCTTCGGGGGTACGGGAGGCGGTGAGAATGCGTCGACAACACGCTGGATATGTTTCATAGTCAGTCGCGCCGGACCACCACCACCCTGTTTGGCCTGGTGACGCTTCCGTTTGTAAAAGTTTCGCACGGGCTAAAGTACAATCATGAGCGTGTGCGCGTTGTGCGCGGAGCAATGCAAACCTACGTTCACGAAACCGGCAATGACTTCGTCACGACGACGTTCTGCAGCGGCGTCGCCGAGAGGAGGCATGTCCACAGCGGCCGGTATATCGGCGAATTCAACATTAACGAATTCCGTAGGCTTCACGTCGCCCAGAGTGTTTTCAGCCCCGAAAGCGAGCACGAGCGCTCGAGCGAGTTTGAGATAAGCGTCCTGTTGACCGGCGTTCTTGGTCTGCGTCTGTTTGCCTTTCGCTGGCTGCGTATGATCCAAGAAGCGTAGCAGGAAGTCCTCCTGTGCACCGTGTATCTCTCCTTCTTTTGGCATGGCGCAGCGGATGGGGGGGATACGAACGTGCAGTCGCGTAGTGGACGTGGATACCAACGTGCGGGCACGGATTTCTTTGGGGGATGAGCTCCGGGTCGGCTTTATCTGGACTGTTGTCCGTCGACCGATGCCGAGCGTGCGGGAGTTAACGTTGCCTACATAGGCACGTCGGACTCGATCGCCTTGAAACCTCGTCCGCACTAGGGTTCTAGATACCGTTAGATACCCACTCGGAATTGAGTTGCAAACATCACGTACCTCAGAGTCGTGCACTCTGTGAGCCACATACGTTGTCAGCGGGACCCTATGATAGCAGCGTATCGCTTGTCGCGGGGCCGCACGTCGCCGTATGCGGAAGCAACTTGGCCATCAACTGTGGCACCGCGGGTAGTTCGGGACCCGTAGCGTTCGGGCAGTCGGAACCGGCTGCAGTAGTATCTGCGAATCACTTGAGACTGTATTTCATTCCACGTCTCCCCTACCGCAAGTTGCAGTCGGTCGGGTCGTGACGAGCGAGAGAACGGTCAGCGCGGAGAGCGTACAGAAACCACGCTAGCGCCGCAGCGCCACAGCCAGTTAAGTGTATGTGTAGATCCGGCTTGTGTCCAAGTGCTCTAGGTGCCGTTTGTGTTCGAATAACACCATAATGTAGACGAGAGCAGTATGACGGAGAGAAGCAGACGCAGACCGTAGGGCGCGCGTGTATTTAAATTCATCTCACGCTCAGCGCCCACAAATGATATCGCCGAAAGGCTAACGTTCTACATACGTTACTCTATTGACATGCGTACTAGCAAACATATGACATGGTACTTCAGCCAATAGCTCATTGGACTACCACCACGCTGAGCAAATAGCGCAGAACTCTGCCCCACCCGGGCGCACACATTTCACCTCGTCCATCAACAGGCGCCCCACCAGGCCTTGCGCGTCGTTTACGAGGTCTTCTGACATACAAAACCCACCGCGCAAGTCTAGATAGTCGACACCCTCGTCGGCATGCGCTGAGCGTGCATCGAGCATCCGCAAAACCGCTCTGACGACCTTCTGCGCCTCGTCTGGAGTCGGCCCGAAGTATTCACCGTTGAGGTACTCCCCGATGGGCTTGTCGTGGGGTGGCGCGCATAGGACGACCAAGCGCTGCATCCTCGGGAGGGTCGTGGGATCTGCGAGTACGTCCAGCAGTTCAAAACGCGTGTAGCCGGTCCACGCATAGTCCAGGATCAGGCTGGTGACGCGGTCGTAGCCGCGCAATACCTGACGAAGCGCACGTTTGTCCGCCCGCTCGGGTCCCCAGCCCAGACTCCGGAAGCGATCGTCGCTGAACTTCAGGTAAACCGGCTTTAGGAAACTGAGCCCAAAGAGGAGGCGCGAAAGGCCGAATATGCCTGAGTCCACGCGCGCGTCCTGCCCCCAAGCCTTGGGCCACTCGTTGGAGTCGCTATCCGCCATGACGAACGCCAATCGTCTCTCCCCGATACGCGCCGTGCAGCAGACACCCTTCCCCTCCGGCGTTATATCGAACTCGGTCTCAAACGCTTCGAGATCTTCGATGTCCATCACGTCCAAAGCAGCGGAAGCCACGCGATTGAGCAAGAAGCCGTTATGACGCGCCGGCGGCTGCTCGAATGCGGCAGCGAGGGTGCCCATGGCCTCCTGAGCCGCAGCTTCCAGCTGTGCCCATGGTGGCACGTCGTTGACCTCATGCGCAGGACCGAAACCCCATTCACCCACAGGATACCCGTCGATGTCGTTCAACTTGCGCGCCATAACATGGTGACCGACAGCACGCAAAGCGGCCTGTGCTTGTAACAGCGCAGTACGCAGAGTGGCGGAGGCGGCCGTCGCCGAGCTGGCCGCGAGGCTTGTCTGAATACGCCCGCGTACATCATCCAAAGCTCCATGATCAGGCGCGGCGGGCATATCGCAGAACATATGGAGGTACCGCAGGTTCTTCGCGAAGATACCGTCTAGCAGGGTCCACGTGTCTTCTGACATCACCCCGGCAAGGTAGATAGTATGCGCGCGCACGAGCTCGATGGGTAGCTCGACGTGATGAGAAGCTTGTACGGGGGTGCGAGGATGGAGATCGCCGTCCGCCCGGCCACGAATATGCAGGACCTCTGCGTTCGAAAGCCCATCCAGCATGCACAGAGCCTCGTCCGCGTTGATGTTGAAGATCTTGGCGAAGCGGATGTTGGGCGCGCCCAACCAAGTCGGGCCTGGAAGATCCACCGTGTCGAGCTCCGGGAACGATACCTTCGCGCTTGAGAAGTCCATGCCCGCAACTTGACTATACGAAGCGCCGATGCGCAGGAACGACAGCCGATCTGGACGGATTCGGCGGAGAAGAGCGGTCAAGTTCATCCGCTGCGTATCCGGGATGCTCTCTAGCACCAGGCGGAGCAGGGACACCTCAGCGATACTCGATAAGACGCGCTCGATCTGCGGGGATGTGCAAAACCGAATTGCGAGACGCAGGAGTCCTGGTGCGTTCAGCGGTAGAGGGCACGATAGTTCACAGATGTACATCGACGGCGCGTCGAGCACACCATCGAAAGACCGTAACGGGGAGGAAGATGCTCCTGTAGCATCTGGGCGCAGAATAAGTACCTGGAGGAGAGGTAGGCGTTGCCCCAGAACTCGGGCAAAGTTGCGCCAAGGGCAGTCTTGCCCGGCGTAGATAGCTGTTGCACGTGGAAGGAGAGCATCGGTTACGGCTTTGGGAATACCCCGAGTGTACGCAAGACGGATATTTGCGCCGCGCGCACGCTCCAGCATAACCGCCAGCGTGTGCTCGTTATGAGCCACCGGTATGAACGCGCCCCAGATAGCACCCAAGCTGTTCGCCGTATCGTGCCAGACTTGACAGACGCAAAGAACGTGCTTGATGTCTTGCAGCGCTAGCCCGCCAGGGTTCTCCGGTCGCCAGAAACTGCCTACTGCCAAGCGATCCACAGGCGGAATCAGGCGCTCAAGCAGCTCTACGAACAGGAAAAACTGCCCAGCCGGCAATCGATTGCCCGGATGTGGAGGTAACGCTGCGGGCGCATCAGTTATACCGAGCTGAAAATGAACGACGTTAGATACTTACCTCGCGTACCATTGTTCGGGGGTACCACGCCTGCGGGATCGGTCGGTGGTACGACGCCAAAGGGCTGAGGAGGAGCCACGGGCGACCCCCATCGCCAGCCGCGCCAACGAATTGAAACCGCCCATCCCAGATCGTCATCCTCGTAGATGCTCACGCCGCCGCCGTTGGGAGTTGCGCCGACTCGCCATTCGCGGTCGGCGGGCGCAGCCCCCTCGCCCCAGTCGCCCCATCCCGTCCCATTTGAGACTCTGGAATCACGTCAGCGTTGCACGGTATATCAAACGCAGAGACACTCACTGCGCCGCATTGTCCTCGGTGTCAGAGGGCTCCCAACCCGCGATGAAGAGCGGTTGGATTGGATGCGCGTCCTCAGACACATCGGATACCTCATCTGGTATGCCGTCCCAGTCCTCGGCGCCGTTCTCTGAAAGCACACTGGCAGAAGGGCCGTAAGTCAGAGGTCTCGAGTGGCACTGTGTGTTCCTTACCTCCCATCTGACTCTCCGGACTCCCACTCCGGTTCTGGCTGAGCGTCGGCCATATTGTCAGTGTTGACGGTCGGAGGAGAAAGCAAGGAAAGAAAGGAAAATCGAGTCTCGCCTGGCGGAATAAGAGACGATCGGCTCATGGTGCCTGCATAATGCAATGAGTGATCCGTATAGGCTGACGCGAGTATACCGCGTATACCACATTCGAGACGCGCACCCTTGTCACGCGATAATGTTCAAACAGCGAAGCGGATTCATGTTGCTATACCGAAAGTGTACGAATGTCGATGTTCAGCAGCCAAATGCCTAGCTGCCAGTATTCATGCACCACACCAGCGCACTCGCGTTTACGCTCTGGGGTAATCCCGCATACGGCAGGGCGGCACCGGGACCGAGACGCTATCGTCTCCCGCGCCCTTAGCGCATGTTCCCCGAGGAACCCGCCATGCGCAGCACCCACATGCATCATGAACCGTAGGGCAGGACTCTCGGCATGGCGAACTTGTAGAGGACGGGGCCGTGGCGAACGCGTTCAGCGTTGAAGGCATTCGGTATCTGTAAGACAACGGTGAAGGTTATGATCATGACCGTAGCGCTCTTTTATAGAGCTGCCGACTTCTGCTTCCCACACGCCCTGTTCGCTCCGCTCATGTCACCGCAAACGGTGCTTACCGCTCTTGCCAAAGCACCCGCTCAGCGCCCATGCATGGAACATAGATGACAGGGCATTCTCGGTGTGGCGAGGATGCGCACGGTGCGCCCGTATCCGTGGATGCGCGTATTCCGCGGGACACGAATACCGTAGTTGACATAACATCCCGTAGCACGCTCACAAGGATGTACCCAACTCCGGCTCAGTACTGGGTTCGTCCGTCCTGTGCTGCCCGTGATATGGGAGTGTGGTCGTGCTGCGAGTGCGGTCACGTTCCAAGTGCTCCCCGGAATCCTGGACCACCCGAATCGCTGGCGTTCTTGCGTTCCGTAGACTGTCAATGTCTACATGCCAAGCGCATGTACTTGGTCTCTAAGAGCTCATCGTATGGAGTTCTGGTCGTCTCGGCCTGATCTCGCTTACAAGGTGAGTCCGTTAAACTCATTGGCACGATGGCTGGAGCTGACAGTTGACGCCCCAAGCAGATCTTTCTTTGGTCGGACGATAGTCGTCTGAGCGCGCGTGTGTTTGACTGGCCGCAGCCAGTCAAGGGGTGCTGGTCGCATATGTAACTACATATACAGATGTGATGTAGAGCCTCTGGCGAATGACCATGTACAGCTTGAAATACAACACTCTTCTGCGCAGCAACTCAAATACGGGCGTGGTACGGTTATGCATGCAAAGATGTACGTATCGTAGAGCTTTCACCAGCCAAAAAGATGTACGTATAGTAGAGCTTTCACCAGCCAAAATCGGCATTAGTAGCGAAGCGCGCTGCATCAAAGAAGCTCGACGGCCCGATTGCCGTTGATGTAGTACTTAACCCATTCGCTCGCCGTTCTGAGCGTCTGTTGATCTTGTCTTCCACATCCATCATGCGGTGAAGGACTTGTTGCTCGGGAGTCTCCTCAACCAGACCGTATAGTGCGGCAGTGAACAGGTCTGTCCCGCGGGTCAATACTGTCTTTTCGAGACACATCTGTGCTAGGACGACGCAGAACGAATACGCATTCCTTGGTCACATCTGTGCTATGACGGAATACGCTTTCCCTGCTTCGGATATGGCTGCAATGGCTGTCCATCGAAGGTATCGTATGTCCTCCTGGCTCTACTGGCAGTCCCGGAATACGTTAGATGCACATGATCCGCTCAGACCGATGTGGCGCAGACGGAAGCAACTGACGAATGAGCCGAGAGCGCTCAACTCATAAGGCGATAGGCAAAAATCTTGTTGGACGTTTCCCCTCGGTTTGACTGCCCGCTTCAGTGCCGTGCTCATGTCTGAGAAGTCCAGCGGCACTGGCATCCCGTTGCCTATGACTGGGCGGCGCGCGCGGCGCGCCGCAGGTCGGGCAGGTTATCACGAACACGCTACCTCCCATATGACCGACACTTCTCTTGATGCTGCTGGCCGCGCGACCATTACCGGCAGTCAGATGCTAGTTCCGCCAGCCCCGCTAGAAACGCTGGAGCCTATGCTAGGACCCATTGCCGGGCCGAGCAACACGAGTAACGGCGCAGGAGTGCCCGATCATATAGGCGAGGATGAGAGCGAGGCAGCTGCGGCGGGTAGCGATGATGTGCAGTCTACTCCCGACGCTGCGAAGTCGACCAAGGTTCGTCGTCCAGGCTATGAGGACTGTACCGTTTGCTCACCGAACTCGTAGAATCGCCCAATCATCGACTGGATTCCTCATCGGTTGGGCTTCGTCCGCGCATTCCTGAAACTCGACGGCCGACCTCGCGACGTCGTGAGGGGCACGGTAAAGGGGTGCTCGCTACCGGGTTGTCCCCGCGCGGCGACGCCAATGGCTGGGATATACCGCTGCGTGTCGTCCAACTGCATGACGTGTACATGGTTATGTGCAGAATGTATGGTGGAGCGGCACAAGTACCGGCCCCTGGATAGGATCGAGGTATGCAGCGGTTGTCGCGACGCGTTCTCCTGAGGTTGTTCTGATCATGACCGCCGATCAGATCTGGATGAACGGGGAGTGGCAGAAGAGCTCACTGCAGAAGCTCGGCGTTAAGGTGCAGTTCGGACACTGGGACGGCACCGAATGTAGGCTATTACGCGAACCCGCGAAGAGTTTCGTGGTCATCCACACCAACGGCGTCCACGAAATCGACGTGGAATTCTGCGGCTGTACGACAAAGATGGTTCACAAATGCGATCAACTGATGGCCGCACGCTGGTATCCTGCCACCACTAACAAGCCTCGGATGGCAGCGACATTCGAGGTACTGGAGCAGTTTGACGCGAACTGCGGCGCGGGGAAGCAGAATGCATACGACTTCTATCGCGCGCTAGAGCATCTGACGGACGGTGCAGGACTGCAACACCTACCGGTGAGTACGGATTGCGAACATAACGATGCGGCAAACACTGAACTACGTGCGTATGCCATCAGGACCGATCCAAAGATTTCTTTCGCATGGCGCACGAGTACCGCCATGTCCTTGCGTTGAAACGTGGAGGACGAGGACACGACGCCACACCTGATCCCATCAAGACGACGGAATATGGCGAGCTCGCCGTGCTCTGCCCTGCGTGTCCTCACCAGGGGATCAACACCAATGTGGTCGATAAGTTGCGCTCTTTGTCGCCTCGACTGGCCGAGGCCGCCCCGTGAGTAGACCGTCATCTAGAAAACGACGATGGCTGATGGCGTGCGCAGGCTGTTCAACGAACTGGTTCAACTCTCGATGGACTGCAACTTTCGAGCGAAGAACAGAATGACGCGTTCGACTCCCGAATCCAGCCCCTACCTTGGAGATGGTATGGCGTACATGGTACCCGAGAGCCCGTATGAAGATTACACGCGCAGCTGCTTGAACGATCAAGAGGTATGCGTGCTACCGGACTGTTTTGGCGTCACGCTCTGAACTCTACGTAGCTCAGCAGCTGCTCGCGTTTCGGCGCGAACATCCTGGCGAATTTGAAAACGGGTAAGGGACTCAGAACGACTGGCGTAGGCGCAGTCTTCTGCTCTCGCCACGAATTCTTCTGGCCCAACTCTGTGGGCACGCTGGTGAAAGGCGAGAGGTAAGTAATTGCAGCGTGCAAGTCCCGGTACAATGCAATGAGGATGACGAACGTTGAACAGATACAGCACGATGGATTTCATCCTGGCCGCTGCTGTGCGCCGAGTGAGGGCCCCAAGCCTTCACCTCTACTACGACATCGTGTGCCAGTATCACCGCAATCTGAACGTGCGCATGATGGAAGCTCAGCCGAAGTCCTTCATCGGCGTGGGCGCCAAGAAGCTGTTGCACCAGATCAACGTCAGTTTCGGCATCCCAAAGTTTCACAACCCCGGTCACCTCGTTATGTGCCAACTGTGGTTCAACATCGCCTACATACGCGCGGCGGGTCAGACGGATGGCGAAGCGTCGGAGCGTGCATGGGCGGGGTTGAACCCGGCTGCATCAAGTCTTCGCGAGATGGGTCCTGGTACGATGCGGGACACTATCGACTTCTTTTGCGGTGTCTGGAACTGGCGCAAGTTTGTCAATATGGGTACGCGTGTGACCTCATTTGTGCGATGCGCTGACTGACTGATCGCGGAAGGTGGATTTCTCACGCGGAAGTTGGAGGTCGCATTGAGGGAAGCGCGTGAGCACGCCGAGATCTACACGGGCATGGAGAGGATGATACGCAAGGAGGACGGAGAGACTGCTATTGCATGGGTCGAGGGTGCGGTGAAATGGGACACTCGGAATGCTTTGAACGCGATGGGCCAGCAGATCACCGAGGGACCTGATGCTGTGCCCAATCCGTACGAGTCGCGGGCCAAGAGTGAGTATACTTGCGTAGTACTGTTCCTCGGCGCTTGCTAACTCCGCGAACAGAACAATCGTTAGATAAGGCGCGTTTGCAAAGCGCTCAGTTGGCGGCGCAGGCTGTCAAGGACACGGACGGTAACGCGGCTCAAGCTTCGGCGCTCACCAACTTCGTCATGCGAGGGTTCAAGATCGAAGTTCTGCAGTAAGTCAAGCGTTCTTGTATGTCAAACTTTCATTCACGAGTCTTCCAGATGGCGCGCTGGAAGGCGAAAGGCGACGAAGACGATCTTACAGACGACCGAACGGATAGAGCATCATACGGCGCTAAGGCGCGAGCTTGGTCTGTTCCGCAAGGACCAGCAATGGATGATGCCCCTCGTATACGCGGCTATCCAGGAGCTCGAAGGCGTTGAAGCTCGAACGACAGCGCCAAGTGAGGGAGACGACGAGGACGAGTTGAAGGCCGAAGAGAATGAGTCCTTGTCGGCGGTACTATACCTGCCATCTGAACTCGACAAGGCACTAGCTCGTACACCGCCCGTTCTCGACGTACTGTTCAAAGAGCTGGAGCTACGTCTCGCCGGGATGGAAGATTGGCTGGACAGCCTGCGCCAGCAGCTACGTGTCCGTGGGACGGTAACCCAATGGCGGATATCCTACTCGGGTGGACAGCGCATGGCGACGCGTACCATCAACAAGCAACGCGTGATCGAAGAGAACATCGTCTCCGCCAGGGAAATGTACAAGCTACATCGGGAGAGGTTCATCACGCTGCTATCTTACCTGACCGACGAGGAAAGGGAGGCGCGCGTGCCGCCGGATTGGGCGGATAATTTCCGGGAGCTTCTGGATACCGATTGTCGCCCGCTGAACAGCAGCTTGCTGCTAGCCATTGATGCCCTCGAGGTCGAACGCGCCAAGCGCAAGGTGGCTGCGCGAAACGACGGGGTAGCGTCCGGTGCTAGTAGCTACCGCATACCCTGGATCTGGTATAAGGTGGGAGAGAGTACGGAGATGGAACTGAACGAGGGTGCGAGGACATTCATGAGAGCATGACAGCAGGCTAATGCGGCAGACAGATATGCGCGTAGAGTTCGTCAAGTGCAGGGCACGCGCGATACGCTGGGTAGAGGAGGTATACAAGATCGCGTACGAGATGGTGCGCGTGCCCGAATTCTGCACGACGAGATCGCTGTGGTGGACTAAGAGGGCGACGGTTGTGATCGAGGGCGCTGACCTGGAGTTGCAAGACGGTATGCGGGCGTATGCAACGAAGCAAGCGACGATGTTCAGGCGGCATGCGGCGGGACTGGAAGATGCCTTCAAGAAGCCGCTTGAGGAAGTCGCGGACTTTGTGCGCGTCTTTGGATTGGACGGGTTGATATCGGAGTCGTCAGAATAAGCGTGTGCCGGGCTAGCGAGCGTATACGACTTAGAGAAGATGCAGTAGTACACATGCCTTTAATTGACTTATCTACCATCGTGCCGCCAGCGGCGAAGCCATCACAGAATCATCAGATGTTGGACCTCGTGCTTTATTAAATCACTCGCCTTCCTTTGTTCACACGTCTGCTTGTTCTTGACGACGACGAGGTGGTATGTGACGACGTCTCAGAGGACTTCGAATCGGCGCGCATGAGTGCAACTGGCCTTGGTGGAACATTCCGCTTGCCGCCGAAGACAGTCTACCGTAGACAGTGCCGGCTCCGACAACTGTATACCTGCGACTGTGTCCGCGTCGGACGCAGAGAGAATGCCCGACATCGTCTCTCTTGATACCTAGTCCTGGCGGCCCCCGCATTTCCGTATGAAGGCTGGTATGCTTGGGAGCGTTTCATTTGTGTCGCGCACCGGCTCTGCCGCGCGGCTTAGGGATGAGTCTGAGTCTTTCCCCGGATGCTGTCGTTCGCGTATGGGATGAAGAGGAGTCGTAGATTCTTTGCGTCAGGTCAATGCCGTCAGTACGCATTGGTTACTGGTACAACCGGCAGTGAAGTGCGCTGGGAAAGTCGAGCCACAAGGTAAGATGCTTCCGCGTACGCGAGGCACGACGTCGGACCCCGACATCGGATACCCGCCCCCGCTGGAAAACTTGATCGACATACGCTATCTTCGGCCTCTCCGCGACCACCACCATGCTTCCCGTCAAGCCCCCTCGCGGAATGGATCATGCGGAATGCCTGTATCTGGATAGCCGACTTTCTGGGCTGTACCGCACGGTGTTCAAGAGTATGGCCGACATTGAGCGCTTGCGCGCGTCGTCTGGCCTTTCGTCCCCGTCTACTCCTGCATGGGCCACCGTTAAGCACTTCCGCCAAGGCCCGGGTGCAGCATGGGGCATCGCGGCGGAATCGCTCGCCCTGGTCCTTTATTACCTCGCGTCCGAAGAACATTTGAGCGGTGACGAGGTTGAGAAGTATCGCGCGGCAGCGCAATACACGCACAGGTCTGCACGGCTTCGCTCTTTGCGTGTGGCGTATCATTCTTACCATGAGTATAGCTGGCTTCACGACGATAACTTTGACGGCAGCAACGAAACATGGCACGCAGACCCAGTAGATGGAGAGGAAGACTGGCAAGGCAACCCGGCTACGGCCCCGGTGGTTCACAACGCCGTCCGTGTGGCGTATGACTTGGAGGTGAGCCGCCGCGCTGGCGGCACCTCGTAAGGGGCTACGCAGGTCGCTGCGAGCTCTGAGCATGTTCGCGGTAAGTCGCGCCAGAAGCGACCCACGTAGATTTCGAACTGAAGTGATCGTTTGTAGAGTGAGGCCAGCAATGTGTGTGAACGTGTACGTTACCAATCGTCGCTATCTTGGTGTTTGATTGTAATCGCTGTCATGTATACGAATGCTATTTTTTGCCAGTTCCACAACAAGGACCGCAGGTCTCCGTTCATAGCTAGCGTGATATTAACCTCAATGATTTGAAGCACACGTGCAGAACGCAGCGACAGGAGAAGTAGTATATACGCGTGAATATTTACAGTCAGGGGTCCTCCTCGTCCTCCTCGTCTTCGCCCTGCTCTTCGCTCTCCTGTGCATTGCCCTGTCCGCTCTCCTGTCCGCTCTCCTCTTCGCTCTGGTCTTCGTCTTCCTCATCGCTAGTGGGATCGGGCTCAATAGCGTGCGTAACGAGCACTTCCAGAGCATGCGTGTACGCCCTGTATCGTTTGTAGAACGGGGCAGCGTCGCGCCTGACGCACCGCAATTCGTGGAATCGTCCCACCCCCGTTAGTTGTCGTTCCTTCCTAGCCCAGCTCGAGGCATTCACGAAGGCTCCGTGCTGGAGCCTAACCAGTTGACGGAACTTCCAGCCCTAGCGCAGAAGGGTGAGGTAGCGAGTATGGAATATGACTGGCTCGAGATGTTACCTCTGCATCGGTGGCGAACGTCGGATGGGGCCCATCGCGATAACGCCAGAAAATGCGCAAATCAACCGGAATCTGAGACTCACGCCAGGGCTGACCAGGCAGATGTTACGATTACGTCTCACAGATGGGATACCTAGCTCACCACGTATCGCTCAGTGCGGTTAGTCGTGCCCGGTTCAGCACGGGAGCGCGTCAGGCGAACACGCGGGGTCGTGGGCAGTGAGGGCAAGTTTTCGTAGGCTTCCTCTACGAGTGCGCGGATTGCAGAATCCATGACTTGCGCTCATCAGAGTCTCCCGAGTGGATAAATAGAATGAGTTTTACTTACTCGTCTTTTCACAGTCCGTGGTCGTGGTGGTCAAGGGCCAAGCCGGATAGTGAACGGCGAGTCGAAATGACATTGACGCGAACGCGGCGCGACGACTGCTGAGCGGATACACCGAAGATGCCGGACGAGAAAGTGTACGACATCCGTCAGACTCAACGGAGTGTTGTATAAGAATCACGGTCCCGTGAACAGCGATGGAGGAGAGGGCCGTAGTGCATAGCTGTCTATATCTGCGGAGGACTGCAGCTCGAGTGCGGGTGTTAAGCGTGTAGCAGCGCCACCGCAAATGAGTTGACATCAGAGCCGGCTGCTGTACGGCCTGGCTGAAGGCAGCAACTGAAGATCGAAACGGGCGAGACAAGCTCTCGACACAAGCGGAGCTGTGTGGTCCTGTTACTGTCGGGTTGAATACGCGGCTGGTCGACCTCGAATGAGTGAAGCCCCGCTGCGCCGTCGTGTGCACAACTGGTGTGTTGGGCAACCCGAGAAGAACGGCACGAAACCCAAACCCCACGAGCGGGAACGGTAGCTACTGTTCGGCCTTTGAACATGGCCAGATCTCGAACTTTCAATCACGACCGGTAAGCACGTACCTGTGGCCCTTATACATTGAAATGGGACACGAACGGACTGGCGGCCACTGTCTGAGCGCAGTCATCTGACTATACTTCAGGGGACGGCCGTATAGCAATGACTGGGTGGCGCAAGTGAGCCATACGCGCGCGACGCGAGATGGCATCAAACATGTGAGCCTCGTGCTCGCACTTGCCGGGACTAGCGCTTCTCACGGACTGGCCCTCGTTCTCTCGATGCCTGCAAAAGCGCGTTGTCAGCATATGAACTACACATTGCGAGTCATCGAAGACATATATTCCATGATTGGACTGACGCCAGACGGGAGCGCGATGCCGCGGGACGTCGCCGAGGGGCATTATCCGCCCGGTGGTATACTTCCGAGACATCTTTTAAAAGACTGAAAGCTGCGGGCGGGGCTTTGGCTTGACCCCTCACTTCAGTAATGTCTGCAGAGCCATCCACGACTGACGGGGAATGCGGGAAGAGCGCAGACGTACGTACTGCTTCACCGAATGTGAGAGATAAGAGACATTCGCTTTGGGTGTCGCCACAAGCACAGTACGTACAGCCTCTGCGGAATGTCAGCAACATAATGTATTCTGACGCGACTTGCAGAGAGCTGTTGTGCCCCGGCGAGCGGTGAGTCCTGCGTTCAGATAGCGAATACTGTCCTCTGACGAAATAAGCTATGCGACAATGGATTATGTCTTGATGCCGGCGTTGGGAGAAAAGCGGGGCATGAAAGCCCAAGTCGGTACGAACGAGACGGCTGGCACAACTATAACTGGCGAGGGATCTTGCGGACAAATGGTGGGAGCCGTTCGCTTGGGTACAGCTCGGCGCTGACACGGGCGCAACAGTCGTGTGCGAACTTTGCAGCCATTACTTTACCAACAAAGTCTACTCCAAGACGTGACGGCGACATGCCGTCCATATGCGCGGAGTGCAAGAAGTTTCTGAATGGTGCGTGGGCAGACTATATGTCGGGTCGGTATTGACACGCGGCGGTATCATACGTAGACCACGCCGGTCGGGATGCGCCCGCTTTCGTCGGCGAAGCATACGAGGCTTCGCGCAAGATGGACGACAGGTTCAAACTCAATATGCGCGGCGCTAGGGCCATTGAGAGCACCGGCTTTGATGGTGGGGCCGGCTCTGCGGAGGGTGCGGAGGGCGGGGATGGCGAGGTCGGTGCCGCAGACGACGGGAGCGATGACATACCGGACTTGCTATCGGAGGAAGAATGGGGTCGCACAGCGTGAATAGATTGTTTAAAATTGTGTCAAGCGCGTGCATAAGATAATAGTAGACGTGTGTATGAGAGGGTGAGCAGCGGGAACGATGGAAAGGAAGTCAGTTGCGTGCGGGCGGCGGGCAGTTGACGGGGCGGGCGGCGGGCGGGGGCGGCGCCCGTGTGTGACGTGAGCGAGGGAGATGACGTGCGGTCGGGCCGCGTCCAGGCACTTAGGGTTAGGGAAACGAGAATCGAAAATGGGAACTGTATTTGCGCGTCGGTTTAAACTGAACGCGAAATGAGGTTCTACTTGTTCCAGGGTGCGCAGGACTCCATATGACCGTGTACACAACAGTAGAAGTAAAGCCTGCCTGGTGTAATGGTCAGAAAGCTGAAGCTATTAATGCTCTGGTGATGGATGACGTGTGCTCCCGGGTTCGACTCCTGACCATGCCGGATTTGAATTTTTGACTTAATCACTGCGGACTTTTTTTTAGGGTGGGCAAGTCAGGGGTTGGAACCCAAAACAGGGGTTGCAACCCCAATCAGCATCTTTGCCAATGGGTTGCAACCCACTGGCTACGGGTAGTGGCGGAGGCGCGTGAGCGGGCTGAGGAGCGGGCCGAGGAGTGGCACACGTCGATTTGCGGGGCTTCGGCGGAGGTGGCGAGCGCGACGGAGGCGTTGGGATGTAGTCGCCGCTTCTGTCGTCTTCAACGTTCGCCAGGGCTTCCTTGATTTGCCTCTGGCGTTCGGCGTTGTCCCTCTTGTGCTGGCGTTCGTCGTAGTACTTGACGATGTCGCCACGCGTAGGCTGCGCCTTGTCGTGGAGACGCGCTGGCAAATATATTATTAGTACGCAAATATAAGAGAAGTTAGTAATTACGCACCTATGGCGGTCCACCACCTCAGCGGACCGAAGAACTCGGCGGGCCGACTCTTCATGGATGGCGCCAACGCTGCCGGAAACCCTTCCCTCAAATGCTTTGCCACCCAATCCCAATCCCACATCGCGCCCGGCTTCTGCCTGCTATGCACGGGCTTAAGGTACGCCATCAGGGCCTCGTTGCCCTTGTTCAACTTCTGCGCCATGTTCTACAAGCGGATAAGTATGCGCAGAACGCGAAGTCAAGCACTACGCACCATCTCGACGATCAAAAACCAAAAGTACGTCTTCACGACGCTTGTCGTGAGATCCCGCCCTCTCGCGAAGTTGTGCACGAGGGCCAAGCGCGCAAGGGACCCGTCGGAGAGGGTGCTTTGATCCAGAGTGGCCTGTTGCCAGGCAGCCAGCGCGTTCTTGATGTCGTCAGGAGTGATCTCCTGCTCAAGCGGGCCGACCCCAGCAACAGACTGATACTTAGGAGGGACGCGGGGAGGAGCCATAGCGAGAGCGGAGAGGGGCGAGAAGAAAGCAAGGTGATGGAAGGAGGAAGAAACGAACAAGTCGCGCCAACGCGTCCGGCGGACCCGCGCGGGCCGAGATTCTCTGAAGTCACCTGACCAGGTTCATTTCGGACTTGTCTGAGCCAAGACGCGTCTCCGGCGGACACGCGACTTGCTTCTTACCATCACTGCTTCGCGTTCACCATGGCGCGCCGCGCCCGCTCCCGCTCGCCCTCTAGGTTGCCATCCCGCAACAAGCGCAGCAAGACCAAGTCCTCTACGCCCATCGAGCTCGACAGCGACGGGGAAGAAATTCTCCTGGATCCTCCGCCGTTATCTCCGTCGGCAGAGAGCGTTCTGTATCACGACTCGGACGTCGACCTTGGCGCCGACCACCTCAGCGACTTCTTCGTTGCGGACAGTGATGTGGAGCAGGAGGTGCTGAGTAAGAAGAAGAAGGAGAAGGGAAAGGGAAAGGGGAAGGGAAAGGTGGCAGACAGTGCGTTCTTCTTTACTTATCCCTTGATACAGATTCAGATCACTCCCCTCCTTCTGAAGAACCGAAGCTGCAATACTTCGTGTCCGTACCGAGGAGGGGTGAGACTGCGTCATAATCTTTCAAATATACTAATCTTATTATTCCATAGGCTCACGACCGTCCGCGCCTGCAGACTCTACTAGCGCGAAGCAAAAGGCTTCTGCGCCTGCCCCCTCTCCACCTCCTATCCGCACACCATCTCCTTCTCCACCACCTTTCGGCATCCCGTCATCTCCGCCGGCTCCTCCATCCGTCAACGCCACCCCGCGGCCGACCCCGAGGCCGAAGAATACAGCAACGAATCCAACGCCCGCCCAGGAACCTACCGCCCGCCCTTCTGCATCAGGATCTGGCCCTCAGGCTGCGGGACCGAGCAGGGCTGCTTCTGGCGCTGGTCCGAGTCACCGCGCCTCCGCCCAGCCTCCGCCGGACCCTGCACCGCCACCACCATCGGGAGGCGATCGGGCGGATCCTCCGCCGCCAAAGTTTGCGCCGCCGAAGCCTCCGCGCGAACGCCCTAACCGCGTACCGCTGACCGTCAACACCCTGGCATACGGCCACATCGGGGAAGTGCCAATCGATCCCGCCGTTCCTGGCGAGTGGGTCAGAGCTCCCGAATCGTTCATTACCTGGCTGGAGGGTCTCACACAGCGCGCAGATGCCGAACCACACGTGGCCAGCGTCAACGCGTATCTTGAGCCCTCCGCCGCTTTGGAGCTCAGCCTCGACTGTGACCGTCAGGCCCGCGACGTCGCCAATCTTCTGCACCTTGCCAGGCTCACGGCTCGGGCTCAGCAGCGTACGCAGGCCTTCGCGCACATACGCGCCCTCACCCGCGGCGTTCTTCAATCGCCATTCGTAACGATGGCCCTCAAGGCCCAAAACTACGAGTTTGGGCGTCAGAGCGCAGCGTGAGGCGTACATACGAGGAGCAGCGGCGATGCTGAAGAACGTCGACGGCAATCCCGGTCCATCGCAGGCATCTGGGTCGGGCGGAGGAGCGGCGGAGGAGTGACGGAGACGGACATTCGGCAGATGCCCGCGGCGGTGACAAGTACACCTTCAACTTGTAAGTTCATCTGTTCATCTCTCAGTTCTTGGTGCTGTTGTGGCTAATAGTCCTGCTTCTCTTGGCCAGTATCTCATAATGCTCTTATCTCTCTTGCACCCTACCATTAATATAGCAAACATCTTAGTATCTCTTTTTTCTTGATTATCTTTTGATGAATGATATTTGCTGCTGTGTAAATCTGCTGTGTCCAGGCAAGAAAATTGAGGATCTAAGAACTGTATGAGAAACGGGTTAGTGTTAACAGAACTTTATCTACATTAGCTCATGTGCCTTCAATGTATTTAAGTATGTATCACTAAGCTCCAAAACTAGAAATTGAAAAAAGTGAGCATCGCCTCAAGCTGGGATTGAACCAGCGAGTGCGGTGCAAAGAAGAATCCAACTGAGCTAAATGGCTTTACATTGACTTGCATTAGTATATTATGGGTCCTCAATCAAATGGAATTATCTAAATTATCAATAGTGCCGTCTCCACCCGCAGGGCTCGGGTAGTTACGGAGGATGTGGCGGATACCGGGCATGACATTCGAAGCATTTGATCGATGTCCAGCATATCGTGGAAGAAGGTCCGCGGATTGTTGTAGACATTACTCTCAAAGGTGAGCGGAATGTCCGCGCAGGTCCGCTCGAACATCACGTGACCGTGAGAATACTGCTATCCACGCTGTGCTATCATCTCTCGACGTCGTCAACCACGATGAGTAGGCTGGTCGTTGTGTTACACATCGAGCTCACTAGTATTCACGATGACAAGCATTTATATGAATTTTCAAGGTCGACAGAGGCATTCGGACCCTTACCACGGAGTCTCCAACACCTCTCCGCCACCACCTCTGCCTCCGTACACTAAAAGGCCAGTACCAGTAGGCCATATTCAATATATATACTATTTTAAATGATTTAAAAAAATCATTAGCGCCCCGCTCGAGTTCGCCCGACGTCAATTAACCCTGTTTACCGACCCTAAATGGCCATCAATTAACCTGATGCCCCGATTGATTGTTGCAACATGGGGTCTAGATCCTAGGATTTCTGTAGACTTTTGTTCATCTGCATGACAGGAGACTACTGGTGATGTATGATACAATGTGTGGACCAGATGCTCCAGCATATGAGATATGGTATGAGTAGTAGCTCATCAAACCTGTAGACACAATTGCTTCACATTTGGCTTCAAATTGAACAGATATTGTTCACAGCTTGATTCTATGCTCATATATCATGATAATATAATTCAGGCCTTACTATTCATTGAATAGCTGTCAGATGTTGTAGACATCATATGACATCCAGTCTCAATGGGTAGTACCAGTTACAGAGTGCATATAGCATGAAATCATAGTAGGGTGCACTATGCAGTTTTCAACTGTTGACAGACATGTGAGATATGCATTTGAGAGTCTGATGAGTAGCTGTACTAGAATAAAGTGTCCCATAGCAATCCGTGCAGTATTGGTAGTACAGTTGCCATTTTACTCCCAAGATTACTGCTTTCAACCAGTTTTTCAGTCCTCCTATACTCAATACTGATTCCCTACTGCTCTAAAAATGTGCATGTGCTTGGGGAACTCAACAGAGCTTATAGGTACGGTACACCAACTGTCCCATACTCAGAGTGGGTTGGTACAGGGCACAACACATTATTTTGCCGCATTTATGGTGATTTTTCAAACACTAGGTACAGATATGTATTGTATATCATCTTGAAGCTCTCAATGAGACGACTCCAACACTGTATTTGCCATATTTCTAGGGTCAATACCTGTAGAGCTATGCTCAGACGAGTCCAGGATGTGGGTTTGAGAATCCGAGCTCAACTCGTCCACAAGGTGGCAGTTGGACCCAAGCTCTTTCTCGCATGTCCTGGACTCGTCTGAGCATCATTCATGGTATACCAAGGCATATACTCATTCCCAATAGCATATACACCTATCCTACTACATTTGGTCTACCCCAGTACTTTATCTACCAAATCGGCACCGTCGGCACCGTCAGCCCCTGCCACTGCTCTAGGGACTTAGAGGCCGTGTCCGTGCGGATCCGCATCTCCGATCTCAACGATGCCGGACGGCATCCGCATCTTCACTGTCATCGGCAGCAACAGCAACATAGGATCCTGTTGCCGCCCTGACACAGATGAAGAACAACCCACGTCTGACTACCGTCTGTACTGAGAGCTGGCAAGATGTGGTAGCGGTACGATGACCAGCTTGTGACCGTGCATGTTGCTCAATGTTGAACAGCGAAGCGGCCTCGCAGAAGTCATGAGCAAGCTCACCCAGACGGACTTCTTCCTTTGCTGGCATCTTCAGGCGTAGCTTGCCACACGTGACGTTCTTGTGCATGTCCTCCACTCATCCTGTTTCCACCAGTGGCGCAAAGCCCTTGCCTCCATCAAGGAATTATGGATGCCTGAGATGTCACCAGAGACAATCGCCCGAGCAGTGGCCGAAGCTGACCGCGATCCCGAGCAAGCCCGACTTACCAACTTGAGAGAATATAGTTATTCCTCATCGAAATGGTTGAAGGGCTATGTTGAAGTTGGTTTACTAGACAAGTTGGGAAACACCAAATTTTGGCGGTCAAAATTAGGCACAGTTTGGCACCAAAATTTGGTGCTCTCTCACGAATTGGCCACAATGCGACTCTAAGGCGCGATTCTGCCACATCGAAGTGCTTTTGTATGCTCGCTAGCACAGTATCTATATCGTATAATGACATCAAAATCGACACGTAACAGTACAGAAGAACCAGGAGTTTTGAGCCATAAGAAAATTGAAGCCGGAAGTGCCTATCACTAGGTGTGAAAGACAATCGTATCGAGGGCCAAAATTTGGTGTTCACGGCCTGAATCTTACGCGCGCTGTAGCGGGTTTCACAGAGGCACCACGTAAAATTCAAGTGCACAGGCCGATGCAGACGACATCATTACCCTTATACCCAAAGAATACTCAGGGTAGGCCGAGAGGGGGCAGAGCCAAACTGAATTTAGGCGTAGAGCGCGACCAAATTTTGGCGTGCAAAAGCACCTAAATTTGGATTTCCCAACATGTCTACTCTGTATCTGTTGTTATCAAGTAACTCATATATCCTGCAGCGCCGCGAGCACCGTAAACAAATGGCCTTCGAGCGCAAGAGACGACGTAAAGAAGGTAAGGCTTCGGAAAGCAGGGAAGCAGCTGACGATCGATCATTGGATGGCGAAAACTCGGCAGACAAACAGCATTCCGGCGACGAGGACTTCCAACTGAATTCAAAGCTTTCCATTGGTGAATGTTTGCTCGGCTTTCTTGCAGATCATCCGGGAGTGCTTCCAGATCGGTTCCACATGCAAGGATACTTTTTCCTCCTTGATCAGGCCCACTTCCTCCGCAACTTCACGACATGGATATGCGGTGCTCTTAGAATATATGGCTATTCCGTATGTCTGACCCCTCATGTACATGATTTTTGGTTGCTAAAGTTGTTGTCAAGGTTTCACTGGAGGATGTTGAGAAGCTCTACCCGAGCGCGATGAGCGTAGTTACTGCTCACCTCAGTTTGAAGGACAGAATGAGAAGCTCTATATGCTCTACGACGAGTGTGAGAAACTCTGTAAAGTTATGAAGGAGAAGATAACAAAGGTCAAGTTTGAGAGAGTACAATTCTTCTCACAACCGCGTCAGCATCCTATTAATTGCACTTGCAGGTTAAAGGCTTCGAAGAGGTCTCGGTTCACTACGTAACAGCATTGTCTCAATCTGAGTTAGATAAGATCAAAGGTTGTGCTTTTACCTTTCACAAGGATGACTTTGTACAAGTGAAGGCAAGTGCTGGTGCTGGTATATCCACCGGTTTATATACTGATATCATGTCAGTCTATGGCTGGCAGAGGAAAGCAAACAGCAGAAACCACTGAGAGCAGGCCGGGCACAAAGTTCATTGATCCACGTGAAGCTCCTCTCAAACTAAAGCCGGTGCACCTGATACAGGCAAATATCGAAGGGCCGAACAAGCGAGACATCCACATCTTCATAGAGAAGGCGACGGGAACTATGGTCAGTCTACACCTTTCTCAACACCTTCCTGCATGTTGAGTGTTGCTGCAGGTTGGCGGCGTGATCTTCAGCACGTTGACGGAGGAGGAGTGGCAAGAATCAATGAAGCACCACACTCTCATATCTCGATATCCCGGTCTACAACGCGGCACATCGTTTCTGGAGTTTGCATTTGGGAAGATGATTCCAGTCGGTTTTCGTGTTCCAATGGGAGCCCACCCAGGGGAGGATTATGTGCCGTATAAGATCTTGATCAAGGCCGCAGAGAGGAGCAAAGAGCTGCAAGACAACGAAGATATCCGCCTTATGTTCGGGCATGCGAAGGTGAGGCTTAGTTGATCATCAGTCAGACTCATCTGATGGCGATACTGATACAGGACACCGAGCGACTACTCAACACTGTTAGACGCTATCTTCTGGGGATTGTCAAGGAAATTCGAAAGGTTTCAGACGAGCACGGTTTGAAGGACATGGGGAGCTGCGGTGTTAGCAGCTACTACTGCACAAACTACATGTCGCCACAGCATGGAGATGGTGATATTGGCTGGTCCATCTGTTCACAGCTCTTCAAGAACCTTAAAGCCACTGGTGGCTCCGAGACTGATGACTTCAACTTCGCATTCACCAAGTGGGGCTTGTATGTAGAGACACAAAGGAACTGTGTCTGGTAAAGTGTTCAGTGTATACCTCGGCTACATCCTTCTCATATAATGTCCCCAAGGTGGTTCCGAAGCAATGACCTACATGGCACAATCATGCCAACTAACAGCACAGTCCACAACCTCTTGTGACAAGCAAAGGAGGAGTGCAGGGAGGCAGTGAAGTTGGCGCGCAAGCAATGGAAAGGAGGGCTCACACCAGCTGAGTGTCTTCGTGGCGGAGCGGGCTCAGATGATGATGACAACAATATGAGTATTGTCTCCCAAGTTGCCATTGCGGGTTCTCCTCCACATACTGGTTCAGGTGGTGTGCACGTCACTATGCACAAGAAGGATGCTGATTGCGCCCGGAGATTCAAGCGGACGGAGGAACGGGCTGCAGCTCATAACAAGTACTGGAGGAATAGGATGTGCAATTTGTGATACTGTGGAGAATATACACATGATGACTTTCATTGTGGTTATATATTGAAATCTGAGATCAAGAGCAAGAATTAAGCGTCTGAGGAGATGGCAGTCATCGAGATCCGAAACCCAAGTTCAGACAGCACAGATTGGAGGGAGGTCTCGTGCTCGTGCTGGTGCAACATTTATGCAACCTCCATAACCCGCGCCCGGCTCCCCGTACTTGGTATGTGCTCCCCCCGCCGGCTCGGCAAGCGCTGGGGCTGTGACGGCCTCGATGGCGGCGTGTTGTTCGAGCATTCAGACGAGACACTATCTTTCGCGGGTGGTGTAGGGCTGGGAGGAGTCGGTGAGGGCGTTTTGGGGAAGGCGAGAACGGGCGAGACGGGCTTTGAGAGAGCCGGTGATTTGGGCGGGAGAGCGGGTGGTTTGGATTGAGAGATAGGTTGAGGACGGCTCGGGCTGCAGAGTGCTAGGGCGGGACAGTGGGCGGGACAGTGGGCGATTTGAGCGGGACAGTGGGTGATCTGAGTCCTGTGGCGCTCATGCCGGAGCCGGAGATGGGGAGCGCGAGGCCGGGTAGAGCGCGCGTGCCGACTATGGGTTACTTCTTCTCTTCATCTTTCTCTTTTGCTGGTGTGGTAGAGGGGGTTGAGGAGGAGGGGGTGGAGCGGACATTGAGTACGGCTTGGAATGTCCATCGGTCTGCTACGCTCGTGCATTTCTGGAGCATGGGCAGGGGTATCACTGAACGAGACCAGTTGCGTGGGCGGAGTTTGGGCGTGCCGCTGATGGCTGTTGGGCGTTCGTTGTATAGGCACGAGGCGCTGCGCATTGTTTGTATCCATCCTCGCAGAAGACGTCGGTGTGTGTCCTTTCTTCTTTGGCCACTTCGCTCTGTCCTTCGTGAGCTGTGCGCGCCACAGCCGATGCGATGATATAACATGTAAAAAAGAAGTCAAAATGAAAGAGAATGCATTGATGAGCAAAACATCGGAATCAGCGCGTAAACTACCATAGTGGACACACATGGCTGAGCGGCTTGCCCAGTGACGCCCCTCCTCCCCCTCTTATGTCGCTCCTGGCCTTTCTGCCCAATGTAGAAGCCGAATACTCCCTCCCGCCACCAACTCCGCTTCTTGCCTTGGCTGATCTCGACACAGCTCCAGAGCCGGTGATAGACATGGCCGAGTGCACATCAATGTCACCTGTCTTCATAGGCTTGATATAACATATCATCGTGCTGCTCGACCCCATCGGCCAACCGCCCAGAAACAGTGGTCTCTCCCCTTCCTCCCCTTCACCATCCTTGGGCACGCGTAAAGAGCCAGACAACGACTTATTCCTGAGTGAATGACTCGAGGACTTTTGCTATAGCGAATGGCTCGACGATTTACTCCTTAATGAGCGCGACAAGGGCAATTTGTGTACGCGTTGTTGGTCAGAGTGGGAGGGCTTGTCGAGCAGAGGTTCTTTCTTGAGCGACATGCTCGAGAGGTCTTTCCGGAGCTCTGGGCGCGAAGTCGCGTGGCGGACTTTTGGCACGTCCCACTAGTCCTCCACGGGCTTGGCCTGGGTGGGTGTCCAAGACTTTTGATAAGTCGCCACAGGCTTGTCCGCCGGTGGACTCATGGGCACTGGGTCTGTAGACGGCGCCCAGCGCTCTTTCAGATCGCTCAACCTTTTCCCTCCTCCCCTCCCCTCCCCCCACTCCTACTCTCTGTTCCTATCTCTCCATCGCCTTCAAGCTGAGCACTAGCCTCAACAATGCTTGCCACGAACATGTGTTCTTTCAGCCGCGATACTTGGTGTCGGATCCTTCTGTAGCAGTTGGCGGCTGAACACCGTGCTCGCGTTGACAGAGGGCGGTGTGCGTGGACCAAAGGGGGGCGGTTTGGGTGTGGGCTGGACGGGGCGGGCGAGGGAGGGCGTTGTTATCGCTGGAGTGGGCTTGGGTGATGTGCCCGGTGAGGGAGAAGGTGTTGCCGAGGGTTTAGCAGACGCGGACGTGGAGAGGGACGGTGTAGGCACAAATGAAGGCTTTGGAGCCAGCGTGGACGGTCTAGGCGATACAGCCGGTGTAGACGGCTTCGAAGCGACATATGCCGGCTTAGGTGTTGGCGCAGGGGACACCACCCTGGGCGTAGACAGTCTAGGCGTGACCGGCCGCTCAGAGTCCGGCTTGGGCAACGCAGAAGCGGTCAGCGGTGGGCTCTTGAGCGGGGTGTGGACGAGTTGAGCTCAGCTTCTCAAACCCACATCCTGGACTCGTCTGAACATAGCTCTACAAGTATTGACCCTAGAAATAGGGCAACTACAGCGTTGGAGTCGTCTCATTGAGAGCTTCAAGATGATATACAATACATATCTGTACCTAGTGTTTGAAAAATCACCATAAATGCGGCAAAATAATGTGTTGTGCCCTGTACTGGCCCACTCTGAGTATGGGACAGTTGGTGTACCGTACCTATAAGCTCTGTTGGGTTCCCCAAGCACATGCACATCCTTAGAGCAGTAGGGAATCAGTATTGAGTATAGGAGGACCGAAAAACTGGTTGAAAGCAGTAACCTTGGGAGTAAAATGGCAACTGTACTACCAATACTGCACGGATTGCTATGGGAGTTGGACATACATATTTATACAGCTATGGGACACCCTATTCTAGTACAGCCGTATGAGTCGCTGATAGACCGACAAACCACACGCGCACACCTCAATTCTCTGAAGGAGACCGATCCTGCATTCTACGCTGAGCTTACAGGCACACGATTCGAAGAACAACACGTACTAGGCTCGCCCAACACGACCTTTGCAGAAGATGAGGCCCCTGTGGATATTAGCGGTGGTGACACCGATGATAGCGACATCCCTCTCAATGTGGTCATCAACAGTGCATTCGAACTGGACGGCGAGGACGACGTAGACTTTCCCATCACAATCAGCGACTCGGGCACTCTCTCGTCGGCCGCACAAACCGAGCAGCTGCAGGTCAGCGATGACGGGCTGCCTATCCAGAACACGAGCCTGCCGGTCAAGACCTCTCGCCATCGTACTCAGAAGAAGCCGATGGAGCCTTTGAGGCGCTGAGCACGACACATCACCAAAAACAAGAGGTACAATAACGAGGAGTTCTTCGCCCACCGGGATGACGAGCCCTCTGAGGACGAGGAGCTCCCAGTAAGTCAAAACATCCAGCTCGATGTCGCGAAAGCTCATCATACCTGCAGGAGTTTGTGTAATCGTTGTCGTTGAGCGGCGATGCAGAAACTGGCGCTTGCGGCCACACGTGTCGTCGCGAGCAGGAGCAAATGTACATTTAGGTACTACAGTGAGTAATCACTAAGTGTAGACAACACCCTTCTATGAATACGTGCGTGTCAGATGCGAAAGAGGTGAGGAGATGCCAAATGGGCTGACCTTCGAGCTCATCGCAAAACGGCCTCTGCGCGTCGTTTCCATTTCAAGTAAACAGCGAGCAGCGCGTGGGAACGACGCGAGCCACGACGCGACACTGCCCGCAACAGCCGTTGTGGCCCTTGTAACGACCGAGGGCCATGCTGCATGCCTGTCCTCCAGTTTAATGCACCCAAGCTGAAATTGCTGAAAATCACAGGGGTGGTAGATGGCAGTAAGAGGTGAGGAGGAGGCACGAGTGCGAGTGCCGTGAGTCTTCTGATCAGGAAGCCGTGTGTGTGCTTTTTCACACCAACATTTCCTTCCTATGCTGCTTCTATCGATTTGGGACATGGTCTGCTTCTCACTGGCGATCTCGGCAGTCAAAAAATCGCTAAAATACACCTGAAAATTTACTACTCGGGCCAGTTCGCCGCGGCTCTCGGTGACCTGTGACCGAGCCAATTTTGCCTTCGCCGGGAAGGTCTGTGACCCGTGACCCGGCGAAGTGGTCAAAATAGTACAGTACTTCAGGCGCAGTCTCCTCGCCGATGCCGGTTCAGGTCCGTCGGCATTGGCTTTGCACCTGCCACCACCATGGCCGGGATCATTTGTCTTGGACACATTATCGTCCGTAGAGGTTAATCTCGTTATCGGTCGCAGGGAGAACGGCTTGTCATGGTGGCCTCACCCAGACATTTGGGACGTGGTGCTCAGCATTGGCGAGTGGTGGACGGTGCACCCAGACTGGTTCACTGTGAGGATGCAGGCTATTCTCTCGGGCGACGCCGTGCCACTGGCGGATACCACTCGGTACGGCAAAGTTCGGAACTGGATAATGTCTGCCAGTCGCCCTGTCTTTCATGCAGGCAACCTTCGACGGGTCTCAATACTGACGACCCTGTTGGACAACAATTGGCAGGAAGATCTCGCGGACGGCTTTGTTAGGCTTACTCTGGACGACGATATCGGGTCGGACATGGAAGAGGATGCACAGTAGGTTCGGTTCCGCCGAAATTGGGGGGCTCTGTGACCTGCCGAGGAGAGGACGACAGCGTGGGAGAATTCCGGGCGTTCCCAAAAGCATGTACTTAGCGTAGTTCTCTTTCCTTCTTAATCATCATCTACTACACACTCAATAAACTTGCCTGCTTTCTCGTATCTCCCGTCTCTCGGTATTCTCTCTCTAGTCTCTCGTATCGATTCCCTCTATCCTCGGCTACTCGAAGGGCGACGCGGATTACCGTCGCGCCCTCTCGAGGGGTAAGGTTGAGTTCCGTCTCAAACGACTATAGCCCAGTAGCCCGTAGCCCGTGGCCCTTTCTCACGACCGGCTCACGGAGGCGGTCCGAATCAATCCGGGCCATTGTTTTGAATCGAGTGGCCCGCACGCGCCTCTGCGCGCCTGCGACATGTACAGGGCGTAATTTCGCCCTCGCGTTCAGCAGGGCGCGCCGATTGCCGCCGCTGCCGCCGGACATCGTGGCGGTCGGGTAGCCCTCGCTCACCC